TGTTCCCTGCCCTCACAGCCTGCTCCAGCCGGTGCTCCGGGCCTAACCTGGCTGCTTCAGACATGGGTAGAACTGCCCCCGCACGCCGTGGGTACACTCACTCACTCGCTCGGTCTGTTTTATACACCACACACTCACACGATTACAAACACACTAACATTAACCACACAATGCATTAGCCATACAATTTCTGGACACTACAAGCACACAAAGCTCGTGTTCACTCGGCTCACCCCAGAGTCGCTAGCGGCCGCTCTATTGAACAATGAACCCGTTCCCAGTCGCGCTATCAACCGGGAACCTCTGCCGCCGACCGTGCTCCTGGTCGATGGCTGCCTGCAAGCACAGGGACGAGGCTGTGCACTCAGATGTCTCTGAGTGACTTATCAGCAGCCCTATCTCCCCTGGGCCCTTTGACAGACATACCATGTATCCGCACAGCAGCAGGTCATTGTCTGTGTCTGCAGGAGGCAAGCCGAGATGGAGCAGAGCTCCTCCAGGAAAATCCCAGGGAGCGCCCAGGGGTCCGTCCTCCCTTCCACCCCTGTGAGGGCAGTCAATCGCCTGGCTGGCTCGCCAAAATGATTAGTGGAAAAAAAGAGAAACTCCACAACTTTGTACAAAGTCATAAAGCCGGTATGTTTAGCACTGGACGCATGTGGGAATCGTTGTTCTCCCTAAAGGACACACACACCTCTGAGAATTCCCCCTTGCTTATACATATGCATATAGTCTCATTCATATTAATTTTACTGATTTCACATTACAAGCTGCAATTAGTTCTTATCAGTCCTTGCCTTTTGCACAGAGACTCTCTGGACAGCCTGAGCCTTTGCCCCTGACAAAGGGGCTTCCGCTTATCTTGGGGGTTTGAATTCCTTCTCTTGGTTGAGGGCATTCTGTGAGCACAAGATTTTTTCTTTATTTTTTTTCCTCTCTTGTTGATAGTGGAACCCTGGAAAAAGTTGGATAGAATCTAAAAATGTTAGGCTTTGTGCTTTCCCAGATCAACTGCACCTGCGTAAGCGGTATGATAAATTATATAATTGTTAGATGTGATGATTGTTTAGTAATTGAATGTAATTATTATATAACCATAAGAAGAATAGTGAGAAACTATGTTGGAAATTCAGAGAGGGGCTAAATTTATGTATACAATAGAACAATATAAGTTTAATAATTAACATGAAAGTTATGTAACGATAGAGTATAAAACATGATCATTTCGGATGTATGGTTGGAATCAGATTTGGGTTGAATAAACCCCAATTCCCAGAGCTCTTAATAAAAAGCACCACATATAATCCCCCGTGATTATGTGTTTTTGAATGCTAACATTGTGAGAACAGGGAGTCTTAAGCACAGATAAACAAGTTACAGGCTCAGAACAGCACTTTTCACCTAAATCCAAAAATGCATTTCTATTCTGTTAAATTTCTACTTTGTCTCACCCATCCAAGGAATTATGTGCTCTGACTCCATGATTTTAAAGGCTGAACAGATGCTTTATTCTATACTATATTATACTACATTACACTATTGCTATACTAAATCTATACTAAATTACATACTAAGGAAAAACCTCTGACCCTTTGCAGACAGTCACGACCCAGCTTTGACCTAATTGGTCAATCAGTCCAAACAACCATCACCACAGTCCAATTAACAAATCACTCTCAGTAAACAATCTCAATAACACATTCCACATGTGCCAAACAACAGGTGCAGCAAGTGAGATAAGAATTGTTTTCTTCCTTTCTGAGCTTTCTCAGCCTTTCCACAGCTTCCCAGGAAAAATCCTGTGAGAGAGAATTATGTCTCTATTCAAAGAAATGTGAATACCACAGGGATTTGTTCTCCCTGGTCTCCATCTGCTGCTCAGTGCCTGGGGTAAGGAAAGAAAAGGAGAGGAAGGAATGAGGAAGGAAGGACAGAAAGAGAAGAGGAAGGAGTTGTGGACAAGGAGAGGATGGGATTTGCCTCTGTGCTAGAGGGAAGGGCAAGGGATCCCACCAATTCATCCCTGGCAGGATGGTGTCAGCAGTGGGGCTGTCCTGCAGCCAGGGGCAATGCTGGGCTGAGACACAGAGCAGAGGAGAGGGGGAAAGGGGCAGTGACTTCTTCCTCACCTGCCTCAGTGTCCCATGCCATCTTCCTTTTCCTTGCAGCCTCCTCCAGCTCCATCCAGACAAAGTTTGGGATTGACAAATCCTGGCTTGGGGGAAAAACAGTGGGTGAGCCCTTGGTCCTGCTGCCCAAGTACAGCTCCAGAAGTAACTGCCCTGTTCACAGTCAGGCAGGCCCAGACCCTGCTCATCTCCAGCCTCCCCCACCCCTCCAGGCTGCCAGAATTGGCCTTTGCTGCTCTCCCCACTCTGATGCCAATATCTCCCCCCAAACTGGTACCACCTCCCCAGCCAGTTTGCCACAGGAACCCTCCACAAATCTCCAAAGGGGCATCTGCGTCTCACCCTTGGGGACCTGCAAGATCCAAACATCCCCTCCCCAGAAACAAACCCTTCCAGAGATTCCCCGATGGATTTGGGGTCAGTTCCCCCTCCCCGCTCACCTGTGGGATCTGGGGAATCGATGCTGCCAGGACCAGGGGAGCTGCAGACTCAGTGGGCAGGTGGGAAAAGAGTGGTTCTGTTGGTGCTCCTCCTCTTCCTCCTCCTGTTCCTGCTCCGCCTTTCCTCCATCCTCCATCCTCCTCCTCTCCCTCCTCTTCCTATTGCTCTTCCTTCCCTGCCCATTCCAGATCCCACCTCTCCCCCATGGCTGCAGCATCACCAGCATTTGGGTGGAGGGAACCCCCCATGAACCCCCCAGGGATGGGCAGGGGGCTTGGGGACTCACCCAGTGCGGATCCATTCCCCCCCAGAGCCCCAGGGAATCACTCCAGGAATCGAATGATGGGGACACAATGGGATCCCCATGGAACTGCTCTTTTTCTGTTCCATCCCCACCTTTCCCTCCCCATACCAGTCATTCCCCCAACCCAAAGACCCCTCCCAACTCAGTTAGGGGGTGCCATCCCTCTTGCGCTCTGAATCCTCTTTTCCCCTGCTCTTCCACCCCTTCCCCATTGTGCCCCCAGCCCCAGCCCTCACCCCTGTTCTTGGTTTTGGGGGATGTAGGCCCCTCCTGCTCAGTCTGGAGGGTCACATTCCCCCTTTCCCTCAATTCTGGCAGCTTTTTCCTGGGAGGAATTCCTCAGTTTTGGGACTTTTGGGGTTTAGCTTAGAAGTGTGACAGCTCTCTCTGGCTTTCCCCTCCCTGCTGTGGCCCCTCAGCTGCCCCTGACACCCTGGGGGTGCTGGGATTTCCCTCCTGGGGACAAGGATGTTCATCCCCTTCCAGGAGTCCAATGCCTGGCTGGGGCTCCAGGTCAGGGGGTCCTTGAGCAGCTGCCCCAGAACCTCCCCCAGGGTCTCCCAGCACAGCTGGAGCTGCTCAGCCTGGGGTCCCCAAAGGCCTCAGCAAGCCCCAAGTCCCTCCCAGGAACCCTCAACCCCCTCAAACCCAGCATCCCCCACATCCCCTGCAAGTTCCCCCATGGCACCGGCCATGGCCACACCCCCACATGTCACTGCCCATGTCCCACCATGTCCTCACCCATGGCTGTCTCCCCACCATGTTTCCATCCCTGTCATTGTCCCCCACATCTCCATCCATGCCCGTGTCCCCCCCATGTCCCCACAAATGGCCGCATCCTTGTTAATATCCATGTGTCCCCAAGTCACTCTCCAGGTGTCCATGTGTCCTACCATGACCACACCCAAGTCTTAGTTCAATGTCTATTTTTACCTCAATATTGGATATTTTGAAGGGATAAAGAGAAATTAAAACAAAATTGAGGCAAAAGAAAGAGATTTCCTTGTCCATACCAGCTGAGGATCCACAGCTTAGGTGGAAGGGAAGAACCTTTTTTGGTGGAATTTCTATCCCACTGTCTCTAAAATCTTGGCCTTTTCCCCAGTTTTTCACCATTTGGCTGCAGAAGACACCCTTGGGCAACAGGAAATCAAAATTGTGGAATCCCTGAAGTTGGAAAAGACCTTCTCCTGGTTCAGGGCAAATTTGGGAGAGAACTCCCAAAGGAGTTCCTCTGGACAGCAGATTCAATCGGCCCCTCCCCCAACTGGTTCAGGAAAAATAAAATACTTCCTTGGAGAAAAGTGGAAAAAACTGTTTATTACACAATAAAACCTAAACAATATTAAACAATAAAACCTCTTGTTGCTCTAAGAGAGACACAAACTCACAAAGTCCCTCTGTGGGCTGTAGCTCAGCTCACTCAGTCTCTTATCAGTCCCTCTGATGCTGGAAATGTCACAGGCCAGGCCCAGCCAGGTGGGCCACAGGTGTGAGCTGCCCGTGCTCTTCTGGTGTTCAGGCCAGAGCAGGCTTGAACAGGTCCAAAGAAAAGGGAAAAAACCCCACAGTTCAGGGAACTTTGGTTCAGCTAGCTAAAACTAACTAAAAGGAAAGGAGAGCTCTGTCCCACTGTCTGCCCATCCGCAGACAACACAGTGCAGGAGCAGGAATGTGGAGGAGTGAGTGCGGTTTCTGAAAACAAAACTCCGTGCTTCTTCTCTCCCCCTTCACTCTCAGAACAAGTCTTGAAGGTGCAAAACTTCTTATTCAGCACAAACAGAACAGACTGGGGACACAAGCATCTTATAGTCAACACAGAATATACCTCAGGGACCATTCAGTACTCCCTGATGTCACCAGAAGACAGGACTGAATGCAAAAGATTTTATGGGGTTGAAATTTGACAAATCTCTTCTCCCCAAGGAATTCCCATTGTAGGTCTGCGTCCCGATGGATGTTCCTGCTGCTGGGTTTATCTAGGTGCCCACAGGGAACCAGGAAGATGGGGAGTCTCCCAGCCAGATGCCTTCCAACTTGGATCATCAGGACTCTGCCCAACAGGGGTCACTGGGGATCATCCAACGCGGATCCTCCCATGGAGGATGGAGCTGGAGCAGCACACGAAGCTCTTCCCACACTCGGGGCACTCACAGGGCTTCCCTTAGTGGCGCCTCTGTTGGTGTCGGGTTAAAGTTGAGCTCAATGAGAATCTCATCCCACACTCCCCACACTCGTAGGGCCTCTCCCCCGTGTGGATGCGCCGGTGCAGGGTGAGTTTGGAGTTTTGCTTGAAGCCCTTCCCACAGTCGGGGCAGCGGAAGGGCCTCTCCTCCCTGTGACTCCGCTCATGTATGAGGAGATCGGAGCTCCTGTGAAACCTCTTCCCACACTGGGGACACTTGTAGGGCTTCTCCCCAGAGTGAACACGCTGGTGGTGTTTTCTCAGGTCAGTGTGCCACCCATAGCTCTTCCCACATTCCAAGCAGATGTAGGGCCGTTCCCCTGAGTGGATCACCCGGTGCCGAATCAGGGCCCAGCTTTCTCGGAAGCTCCTCCCACATTCCCCACACTTGTAGGGCTTTTCCCCAGTGTGGATCTTCTGGTGTTCCGTCAGCTGGCACTTCATGCTGAAGCTCTTCCCACACTCCCCACACTCATAGGGCTTTTCCCCAGTGTGGATCATCTCGTGTTTCCTCAGGCCAGAGCTGTATCTAAAGCTCTTCCCACATTCCACACACTCATAGGGCTTTGCCCCAGTGTGGATCCTCTGGTGTTGAATCAGGCTCCCCTTCTGGCTGAAGCTCATCCCACATTCCCCACACTCATAAGGGCGGTCTCCAGTGTGGATCATCTGGTGTTGCATCAGGTGGCCCCTCTGGCTGAAGCTCTTCCCACATTCCCCACACTCAAAGGGCTTTTCGCCAGTGTGGATCCTCTGGTGTTGCATCAGGATGGAGCTCTGGCTGAAGCTCTTCCCACACTCTTCACACTCAAAGTGCCTCTCCCCAGTGTGGATCCTCTGGTGCCTCCTCAGGCTGGAGCTCCAGCTGAAGCTCTTCCCACACTCCTCACATTCATAGGGCCGGTCCCCAGTGTGGATCACCTGGTGCTGGATCAGGTCTAAGCTCCGACTAAAACCCTTCCCACATTCCAAGCACTTGTGGGGCTTCTCCCTGCCATGGGGCTTTTCTACCAGCTCTGAGCTCTGGCTGGATTTCCGGCCGCCTTCCTTGCTCAGGGGGGCTCTTTCCTCCCCACAGCTCCCTGGGCTGGGTTTGCTGCCCCTCCTTGTGCGGAATCTCCAGGGCTTTTCTTCCTCCTCCATCCACACACGTCCTAGGAATGAAAAATCCTGGTATGGGTAAAAAACAAAATGAGAGTTTCTTAGACTGGGAGTTCCTACTTGCTCAAGTTTATCTCAGGAAGTCATTGGGAATCTTGTGTATATAAGAACCTCCAAAACACCAAGAGTCAGCACAAAATCCTCCAAACATCAAGACACAGATCAAAAACTTCCCAAATATCAAGATTCAGCAAAGTCCCCTCCAAAATATAAAGATTCAGCCCCCCCAAAAAAACAAAGCACCAACAATTAGGCCAAAAAAGCTCAGAAACACCAAGATTCACCCCGGGAAAATCGTGGATCCCAATCCCTGGTCACCTGCTGCATGTGGAGGGGGGGCAACGGTCCTGGGGCTGAGGTTGGAGGCTGCAGATAGAGGGAGAGTGGAACTTTGTGCTACTTCCTCTTCTGTTCCTCCTCCTGTGTCCCTACTCTTCCTCCCACTCCTCTTCCTCCTGCTATTCCTCCTTCTCCTGCGCAATCTCACCTTCTCCTCCCACGTGCATCGTTTGACCCTTTTGTTCCTCAATTCTGCTTCTCCTTCCCTTCTCCTCCTGCCCCAGGCCCAGCACCCACTGCCGGCTCCCTCTTCCCCCCAAACCCACAGCATCCCATGGCAGGGGCAGGGATGGAGCTGGGGCAGGTCGGGCTGGGGCAGCGCTGGGCTCTCGGCCGCTCCCGCCCGCACTCGGTCCCCACTGCAGCCGCTCCCGCCGGGACAGCGCGGGGGGGCCCGGCCTTGGCACCGCCCCACTCCCACCTCCCCAAATTCCCCTCGCATTTGGACAACAGGGCATGGATGGTGTTGGTGTGCTGCAAAGGGATTGCGTGAAGGGGAGTGTGCAGCAATATGGTTAAGGCAAGAAGCTGCAGGAGGAATCTATGTGGGAAGGAAAAGGATGATGGAAAAGCGAAGGAAGAGAAAAATACTGAGGATTGGGATGCTTATCCAACAGGGTCTTAGCCTCAAAACTTGTCAGCTGATTCAGATCATTTGTACCCCCGGTGTCCAGGACAGGAAAACAAGGAGGTCAGGGTTTCAGGGGGTTTCTCTGTGAGGGGCAGCGGCAGCACCGGGCGCAGAGCTGCGGCACCGGGAGCACGGGCTGGGGGCCTGTGGGGAGCTGCGGGGCCGGGCCGGGGCTGTGGGGCAGCCGGGGCTCAGCGCCGGGCGCTGCCTGACCCCACCAGCCCCGGGCAGGGCCGGCAGCGGCCCCCGGCCCCCAGGAGGCTGCGGTACGCCCCGGCCGCTGCCCGGCCCCGCGGAGCTGCTGGCCCTGCCCGCCGGGGGCGCCTTTGGACACTACGGCAGGACAGGGAGCGGCTCTGGGCTACGGGCTGGGGAGGGCACCCTGAGCACCGGGAGGAGGAGCAAGGAACACCTGGGGAATGTGGATTGTGCATTTTAGCATGGAGATCATCTTTTAAGGCTTTTGTTAGGGTTACTGGAGGTACAAATGATTTTGCAGAAAGCTCAGCAGCTGTCAGAGGATGAGCACCCACAGGCACTGAGGGGGGCTGCAGGAGGGGCACAAGAAGGCCCTGCAGCACTTGGGCACAAAGGCACAGCAGGTGAGTGCAAGAAGGGAGCAGCAACAGGCCAAGCTGAAGGCAAAGGCCATGGCACAGTTCCTACAGCCCCTGAGGGATCAACCCCAGGGCCCAAGGGGGCCCCAGCACCCAGGGCACGGGCTCCGCCACAAGCACCTGGCAGAGGCATTGCCCTCCTCACCAGGGGAGAGCCCACCCAAACAGCCCCTGGCAAGGAACCAGGGCTCCAGCTGCAGGGCACAAGGACACTGCAAGCACAGACAGCAGCACTCTCAGGACCAGCAAGTCCACCCCTTGATGGACATGGATTGGCAGGGCTGTCACAGCTCCCATCACACCAGGGACCCTTCACACTGCAGCCCTTGAGAACATTCAGGGTGGGTCTGCATTGAGAGGAGGCATTTTCTGATGGACACAGGGGCCTCTCAATCCACTCTGAATCTTAGACCTAAAGGGGAAAATAGTAAAGAAATATATTAATTTTTAAGGCAATGAGTGCAAAAGATGAGCAGGTATGATTTGTTCAACCACTATTAGAAGTCGTGGGGAATAGATTTGAATAAAATGAATTTCTTTTTCTTCCTCCTGTGATTAAAATTAACTAGAAAGGAATTGAGAGCTGGATTTTAATAGTGTAAAAGGCGATACATAGGCTAGTTCTGTTCTACCTTTGTGTCAAAAGTCTGACAAGGCCCCTGCTGAAGTGAACCCAGAAGTGTGGGCAGCTTCGCGGAAATGGGGAAAATTTAATCTGGAGACTCTACAAATTACTTTAAAGCAACCAGGACAAGCAATACCCTATTCCAAGAGAGGTGAGGAAGGGCTCACAGGCTGGTATTGAGTCCTGGTTAAAGGCAGGGCTTTTGGAGCCAGGGATATCTCCCTACAACACTCCTATCCTGCCAGTCAACAAACTGGATGGATGGACAGGAGGAGGAATCACAGAATTTTCAAGTGTTAAAATGAAGATTAACTGAGGCGGCTGGCCTGGGCCTTCCAGACAGGGAAAAAGAATTTGAATTATAGGTGGATGTTAAACAGGGTCTTGCCAAAGGAATTCTTGTGCTAAAATGTTTAAACCAGAGGCCACAGAGCGGCCTCATTGTCTGCAGAATTGTGCAGCCACAGCTTTCATGGGAAGTGCAGCCTGAAAACTGATGACAACAGGAGGATCTCCTACAGTTCAAGTCTGGCATCAAGTTAAAGCTTTGACAAATAAAAGCGCCTCTAAATGGATGAGCAGGGCTCGGTTATTACAGTATGAAACTTGTTCAGTGGCACAGGAGGATTTAGAACTGAGGACAGGGCAAGGGTTTAACCCAGCCTCCTGTTTGAACAGCCTGGAGAGGGGCTGGCAAGGAACCCAGGACTGCACTCAAGGGACAGAGCTCCAGACCCAGGCTGGGACAGATTGATGATGGCACATTGCCCGGCCTGAGGGAGAAAATGCGTTTGTGGATGGCTCTGCAAGGGCAGCAGAAGGGAAAAGAGCTACAAGACAGGCTGTTATTAAGGAAGGGGAATCAGACACAGCGCAGGTCACCACCCCATGCTCAGCTCAACCACGGAGCTGTGGGTGCTTGTGAGAACCTGGCACTGAAATGCCCCAAGCAGGAAGGCTTCAATATCTTCTGCTGACACCATGGCACCTAACAGGGGGGCAAAAGCAATGCTGACTGCTTCAGCAACCACTGGAGCAGATATCAAGGGATATTCTCCCACAGCAGGCTGGGCTGGCACTGAGCCTGCCCTGGCACTTTGCTGCTGCCAACACCCAGCCAGGACATCGGCTCCTGCCTAAGGAGTGCCAAGCAGCACCACTGGTGGCCAAGGGGCCCATGCCAAGTGTCCCCGAGGCCAGAAACAGCCGCCAGCACAGCTCAACATGGGGGGACCCCTCAGCCTGGCCTCAAGGGCTCTGAAGCCCCGCAGATTTGCACTTCCCGCCTGCAGCAGGAGGATGCGAGGCCGCCCCTGAGCCTGCCCTGAAGGCAACGCAGCAGCAGCCAGGGCTCCACAGCGGGCCAAGCCCCTGCGCCTGCCCACAGATCCTCGCCTGGAATCCTCTGCAATCCTGGCCACCCTCCTCTGCCATCTCCAGCCACTGGGGCCAAGCCTTGCTGCCACTGCTGCAGCTTCAGCGCTGCCTGGGCCTGCACTGCCACAGCTGCTGGGGAACACCACGGCACAATTCCACTCTGGGGCTCACTGACACCCACACTCTGGGCTGCCTGCCATTGCACTGCTGCAAGATGTACCGATTTCAGTTCTTTTCAATCTTATTTCTCTACTCAGAAAGGTTTCTCTACACAAAGGTTTGCCTTGGGGAAAGGAATTTTAAAGGTTTTATTTAAGGGGTGTTACACCACTCAATGGAGATGAGTTTAACATCCCAACAGACTGGGAACAGCCCAAAAGACACCCACAGAGATAACGACCAGCAACAAAACATCAACATTGCCCAGCAGCAAACAGCAACCAACAGCTACCCCAGACACTTCCCCGGCAGCGCTGGAGACACCTGGGCTGGAAAAGGCTGAGAAGGAAATCCAGGAGTGTGGAGACCGAATTCACATCAGAGTCAAAGAAATCCGGGTCCAACAGGAAACCAAATACTAAAATCTTACACAATTTGGAAGCAATGAACATTAAAGCAGTGGATTTAGACTGGTTCAGAGTACATAAACTTAAGGAAAAATCCAGTAAAACTCACATGGTATGGAATGATTTTCTCTGCACAGCCAGGCTAGTTGTGAAAGAAATTATTTCTGTTGCACATCCTGGTCAGAACCAAGTAATGCCTTGACTCACTAACACTAAAGAGATTCTTGGAAAGATTTTGTTTTCCCTGCAGTTTCAGTGACAAAATTACAACATTATTTTGTCAGGTAGGTTTGGCACAGAAGTGTGACAATCAAGTTTTGGTCTGGGTTTTCCATGTTCGCCTTTGAAGCCATTCATTACAATGAACAATAGTTTCTGAGAAATAAAAGAATTAAAAGACACTTAAAGTATATCAAGGGAATCGCAGAAGTTAATAAATAACCTAAAATACACTGTTAAGGAGAACTTTGATCAGATATCTAGATAAGTTAAATAATCTAAAATACACTCACAGAAGAGACTTTGGAATTAGAATATTTGAAGAAGCAGAAGTGGAAGCCAATAAGTTAAAGTGACCTGCCAAGCCGTTAGAATCGAGCCAAATACAACAGTAACTTCTGCCAAGCCATGGAAAAACATGCCAAGGATAACAGGAAGATATCCAAAATAGGAAATGC